TCCATCTGTTACTCCGTCAACACTTTTGGACACCCTGGAGTGTGTGGATGCAATTCTGGCTACGCAACATCTCTAACTCTGTAACACTGTTAAGCCAGAAGTAGCACACAGGACTGGATGGTATGTAATATGAAAGGCAACCAATTTCAATTGACAAAATCTATACACAGAAGGCTTTACCTGTAACGTCTTAGTAATCTCTTACACAAGGTTTAAGGGCTCCATGGTGAGATAGAAGAATCTTCACTACCGGGGCTGGAGCAAAAAAGCAAACAAAGAAAAAATTCACAATCTTTCTTCTAAGGAAACAGTTTTTGATCATCCTTTTATCAAATTATTTAAAACGAGCAATGTAAAATAAATGATAGTGGGTCTGCTATGGGGGCACGTTCAAGTGGTAGTTGGGAAAATTGGAAATAATGGTGGTGAGAAGGTGCAATGGTGGTGGACTGGTGTTGGAATATTAAATGTCTGTAACTAATGACTAAAAATCTGTTTTTTTTTTATTTTGCTTTTTGGGTCACACCCGGCGAGGCACAGGGGTTACTCCTGGCTCTGCACTCAGGAGTTACTCCTGGCGGTGCTCAGCGGACCATATGGGATGCTGGGAATCGAACCTGGGTCGGCCCCATGCAAGGCAAACGCCCTGCCCGCTGTGTTATCTCTGCAGCCCCTAAAAATCACGGATTAAGGATTTAGTCACGGTCCTCGGTCCTCCCGCTATTCATCGCTTTGCTCGAGCGGGCCCAGTAGCGTCTCCATCGGAGACTTTGTTGTTACTGTGTCTGGCATATCGAATACGTCACGGGGAGCTTGCCAGGCTCTGCCGTGCGGGCGAGATACTCTCGGTAGCTTGCCGGGCTCTCCGAGAGGGGCGGAGGAATCGAACTCGGGTTGGCCATATTGGCCGCTTGCAAGGCAAACGTCTTACTGCTGTGCTATCTCTCCAGCCCCTAAAAATCATTTTAAATTATTTTTTAAAAAAAATATACTATCAAGTTACACTGTATGCAGAGATTCAAGATAGGAGATTTAGTCTTTTTTTAAGTGAATTTTCATAAATTATCTTCTTCAGCAGGGAAGCTGTTGGCTTACTCTGGATTCAGCATCTCACGCAGACAGCAATTCAAAGCTACAGAAAAATCTGGAACGAACTCTGAAATATAGTTTTAAAATACATTTTAAAATATTTTAAAACTTCGGGGCCAGATAGATAGCACAGCAGGTTAGGCACTTGCCTTGCACACAGTTGATTAGGGTTGGATCCCTGACACCCCATATGGTCCCTAAAACCCAACAGGAAGGATCCTTGAGCACAGAGATAGGAGCAAGCCCTGAGCACAGCTGGGTGTGGCTCCAACCCTCACCCCTGCTAAAAATGTATTTTTTAAAGGATCGGTTCCAGAGTAACACCTGAATATCTCTGGGTGTGCTCCTACTCCCCAAAACTAAAGAAACAAGCCATAGAGAGTTTAAAAATAAAAGCCTTCTGATTTTTTAAAAATCAATTAAAAAAACTGAATTAAAAATATTAAAATCCTAGAGCTAAGAAAATAGCTCAAATAAAAGCACATGCCTAACATGTCAGATCCTGTACCATGAATACCACTGAAAGTATCCCCAACACTACCAGTTTTGGGCCTTATATTAAAATATATACATATATAACATACATAAAAAAACAAAGCTCAAGATTGGAAGAATACAAGCTGCAATTTAATAGTTTCTAAATCTAAAAATTTGTAGCACTCATTTTACAAAAACACTTTCAGTCCTAGAATTACAAATTACTGACTCCATGCAACTTTTATAATTCAATTCACCATTAGGAAGGAAATGTTTTCCATGGGTAAGTATTTTTTGAGACATAAATAACAAAGAATTTGTTTTAGGTGTTCAACATGACTTGACATACATATACATACATATACATATATGTATGTATATAAACTGCAAAATGCTGATCACAGCAATTTAACATTCATCGTCACAGTTTTCATTTTCTTCTTATAAGAATGTTTAAGATGTACAACTTTTAGTAACTGAAAGTAAGACTTAAATAAGAATGCTTTCATATCATGATATGATAAAAAATGTAAAACCAACAGAATCTATCACTAACGTCTTAATAATGGCACCCAGTTTTTGATACAGGACTGCTAGTTAAAGAAGTAAAGGATGTATTTCAGTGGGAGAGCACATGCTTCACATGTATGTGGTCCTGGGATCAATTCCCTGCACCATAAGACTAGAAATTGAAAATTTAAAAACTTACCCATATTGTGGTGCTCCCGTTATAATGTCTCCGATAGTGACATGAACATCATCCTCATCATCATCACTGTCACTATCATATTCAGTTTCAGTCACTTTCTGTACCAACATAAACAGTAATAAAATAGATTCAATAATGCACCTTCAACATGAATAACTGAAACAGTAACCAATTTGTTTCATCTATGGGTTTAGAGTTATGAAACCAATGTTTCCATTTCTTCTTTGTAAATTTAATGTTTTAAAAACTAAAAAAAAGTGATAGAAATGTGAAAAGAGGCTGTCAAGAAGTTTTTGTATGACAAACTAATGTATCTTTATGCTTAAAGCTTTCTCTCTTGCAAAAAGGATCTAAGGGAATGTGCTAAGATATCCAGCAGATAGAACCATAAAAAGTAGGCATTGGAAGAACTTTTGGCAAAAGGAATGTGAAGATAAGAGTGAAAAATTAATTATGGAGCTGGAGCCATAGCATTGCAGGGAGGGCATTTGCCTTGCGCACGGCTGACCCTGGACTCGATTACCAGCATCCCATATGGTCCCAGAGCACTGCCAGGAATAATTCCTGAGTGCAAAGCCAGTGCATCAGCAGGTGTGCCCCGAAAAGAAAAAAAAATTAATCATACTAGGCACAGTGTTAGGTTAAAAAGCAACAAAATGTTACCAAAGAGCTCACCAGTCATGGCATTCATTTATATCTTAGAAGAGGTCTTGCCACAAAATGACCGGGAATATATTTTATCTGAAAAACGAAAAAACATCAGCATACTTAGGAAATCTCTTAGGAAAGTGTTATTCTGGCTCTAAACAGCTCTTTTGTCCATAGTATCCTTTTGGTTAACTTTAAAAAAAAGGACCATTTAAACCAGTATTTATCAATAAGAGACGGTATGAGACCAGGATGTTCCAAGGGGCAACGGCAGAATTCCCATGGGTGGGAGAAAGCAGGAGACTAGAGGACCATTAGCAGGAGAGGGCAGGCCACCAGGCCACATGTGGAAAAAAAGGCTGGAAGGGGCCAGAGTCTGAAAAAGACGGAAAACCATGAACCTGGGAAAAACATTTTTACCAGGACAAGTTTAATCCTGCAGAGTACCAATCTCTTTCTTTCATAGAAATAATTGAATATATTAAAATCTTCAAAAGACCATGGTAAAATAATCCTGCAAAACATCACTTTGAAGGTGAATGAGGTCAGAGACCAACATACAAAATAGCACCTTGCTTAAAAACAAAACCAAAAAAGCCAAATATTTCTTAAAAGAACTGTGATCATCTAACAGGTTCAGAACTCAAATGAAAGCAATAAACCTCTGCACACACTCTATTTCATCTGAACACCTTCCCACTATTTCTTTTCACTGTGCATCAAATAAAAATACCTGACAGCGAGATTGTGCAGGATACTCCAAAGTCTAGCTAAATGTAGACTTTCTTCTTAGCTAGAAATCTACAGATTTTAAATACGGAAGCGACTGAATTCCAAAGCCTTATGTTACTGGTTTAGGAACACCATTTTCAGCAGCTTCCTCCTCAATCCCAGATGGAGGACTGGCACTACAAATAAAAACAAGTACACGTGTCTGTGTTACTTTCGGGCAAGTGCCCGACTGTCGGGCAAGAGGCGCCCTTTTCCGCAGGTGCGTCCACGCGCACTGGCCCTCGGGAAAGGAGCCGTTGGCGGGGCGGGGGCGGCGCCGTCCCCGGGGCGCGGGGCGAAGCGCTGAGGACGGGAGGGCGTGCGGGCAGCTCGGAGGCCGGGGAGGGCGTCCCGGCCGGGGGCCGCGAGGACAGAGCGAGGCGCCGCGGGAGGGGCGCCGGGGAGCACCGGGCGGCAGGTACCGGCGGCGGCAGCGGGGGCGGCGGCGGGGGCGGCAGCGGGGGCGGCAGCAGGCACGTGGTTAGGCGCGCGCGGCGCGGCTTGTGCGCACGCGCAGCGGCGACCCAGCGGCGCGGTGGCGGCGACCTGAGCCTGACTGCGCCTGCGCGCGGCCCAGGCCCCGCCCCCAAGACATCCCGCCCCGCCTCGCAGCGAGGCTTTCTCGCCCGCGTCCGCTGCGCCTCCCCCCCCACCCGCCCTCTGCAAATCCCTCTTGCTTTGCCCATGGGGGCTTCCTTTTGACCTTTTCTTTCTTTCCTTTTCAGCGGGCGAGAAAGCCTCGCTGCGAGGCGGGGCGGTATCTCTTGGGGGCGGGGCCTCGGTCGCGCGCAGGCGCAGTCAGGCTCAGGTCGCCGCCGCCGCACCGCTGGGTCGCCGCTGCGCGTGCGCACAAGCCGCGCCGCGCGCGCCTAACCACGTGCCTGCCACCGCCCCCGCCGCCGCCCCCGCTGCCGCCGCCGGTGCCTGCCGCCCGGTGCTGCCCGGCGCCCCTCCCGCGGCGCCTCGCTCTGTCCTCGCGGCCCCCGGCCGGGACGCCCTCCCCGGCCTCCGAGCTGCCCGCACCGCCCTCCCGTCCTCAGCGCTTCGCCCATCGCCCCGGGGACGGCGCCGCCCCCGCCCCGCCAACGGCTCCTTTCCCGGGGGCCAGTGCGCGTGGACGCACCTGCGGAAAAGGGCGCCTCTTGCCCGACAGTCGGGCACTTGCCCGAAAGTAACACAGACACGTGTACTTGTTTTTATTTGTAGTGCCAGTCCTCCATCTGGGATTGAGGAGGAAGCTGCTGAAAATGGTGTTCCTAAACCGGTAACATAAGGCTTTGGAATTCAGTCGCTTCCGTATTCAAAATCTGTAGATTTCTAGCTAAGAAGAAAGTCTACATTCAGCTAGACTTTGGAGTATCCTGCACAATCTCGCTGTCAGGTATTTTTATTTGATGCACAGTGAAAAGAAATAGTGGGAAGGTGTTCAGATGAAATAGAGTGTGTGCAGAGGTTTATTGCTTTCATTTGAGTTCTGAACCTGTTAGATGATCACAGTTCTTTTAAGAAATAATTGGCTTTTTTGGTTTTGTTTTTAAGCAAGGTGCTATTTTGTATGTTGGTCTCTGACCTCATTCACCTTCAAAGTGATGTTTTGCAGGATTAATTTACCATGGTCTTTTGAAGATTTTAATATATTCAATTATTTCTGTGAAAGAAAGAGATTGGTACTCTGCAGGATTAAACTTGTCCTGGTAAAAATGTTGTTCCCAGGTTCATGTTTTTCCGTCTTTTTCAGACTCTGGCCCCTTCCAGCCTTTTTTTCCACGTGTGGCCTGGTGGCCTGCCCTCTCCTGCTAATGGTCCTCTAGTCTCCTGCTTTCTCCCACCCATGGGAATTCTGCCGTTGCCCCTTGGAACATCCTGGTCTCATACCGTCTCTTATTGATAAATACTGGTTTAAATGGTCCTTTTTTTTAAAGTTAACCAAAAGGATACTATGGACAAAAGAGCTGTTTAGAGCCAGAATAACACTTTCCTAAGAGATTTCCTAAGTATGCTGATGTTTTTTCGTTTTTCAGATAAAATATATTCCCGGTCATTTTGTGGCAAGACCTCTTCTAAGATATAAATGAATGCCATGACTGGTGAGCTCTTTGGTAACATTTTGTTGCTTTTCAACCTAACACTGTGCCTAGTATGATTAATTTTTTTTTTCTTTTCGGGGCACACCTGCTGATGCACTGGCTCTGCACTCAGGAATTATTCCTGGCAGTGCTCAGGGACCATATGGGATGCTGGTAATCGAGTCCAGGGTCAGCCGTGCGCAAGGCAAATGCCCTCCCTGCAATGCTATGGCTCCAGCTCCATAATTAATTTTTCACTCTTATCTTCACATTCCTTTTGCCAAAAGTTCTTCCAATGCCTACTTTTTATGGTTCTATCTGCTGGATATCTTAGCACATTCCCTTAGATCCTTTTTGCAAGAGAGAAAGCTTTACATATAAAGATACATTAGGTAGTCTTACAAAAACTTTTTGAAAGCTTTTTTCACATTTCTATCACTTTTTTTTAGGCTATAAAGCATTAAAGTTACAAAGAAGAAGTGGAAACATTGGTTTCATAACTCTAAACCCATAGATGAAACAAATTGGTTACTTTTTCAGTTAGTAGATATTGAAGGTGGATTATTGAATCTATTTTACTACTATTTATGTTGGTATAGAAAGCGACTGAAACTGGATATGATCGTGACAGTGATGATGATGAGGATGATGTTCATGTCACTATCGGAGACATTAAAACGGGAGCACTACAGTATGGGTAAGTTTTTAAATTTTCAATTTCAAGTCTTGTGGTGCAGGGAATTGATCCCAGGACCACATACATGTGAAGCATGTACTCTTCCATTGAAATACATCCTTTACTCCTTGAACAGTTCTGTATCAAAAACTGGGTGCCATTATTAAGACTTTAGTGGTAGATTCTGTTGGTTTTACATTTTTTATCATATCATGATATGAAAGCATTCTTATTTAAGTTTTACTTTCAGTTGCTAAAACTTGTACATCTTAAACATTCTTATAAGGAAACAATGAAAACTGTGATGATGAATGTTAAATTGCTGTGATCAGCATTTTGCAGTTTATATGTATATATGTATATGTATATCAAGTCATGTTGAACACCTAAAACAAATACTTTGTTATTTATATCTCAAAAAATACTTAGCCATGGAAAAGATTTCCTCCCTAATGGTGAATTGAATTATAAAAGTTGCATGGAATCAGTAATTTGTAATTCTAGAATTGAAAGTATTTTTGTAAAATGAGTGCTGCAAATTTTTAGATTTAGAAACTATTAAATTTCAGCTTGCATTCTTCCAATCTTGAGCTTTGGTTTTTTTCTGTATTTTGTATATGTAATAATTTTAAAATAAGGCCAGTAACTGCTGGTGTTGGGGATACTTTCAGTGATATTCATGGTACAGGATCTGACATGTTAGGCATGTGCTTTTATTTGAGCTATTTTCTTAGCTCCAGGATTTTAATATTTTTAATTCAGTTTTTAATTGATTTTTAAAAAATCAGAAGGCTTTTGTTTTTAAACTCTGTATGGCTTATGTTCCTTTAGTTTTGGGGAGTGGGGGGACACCCAGTGATATTCAGGTGTTACTCTGGAATCCATATGGGATCTCTAGGGTTGAGCCCAGGTTGACCACATGCAAGGCGGGCACCCTACCCACTGTGCTAAAGTTCTAGCCCCTTTAGCTTCTTTTTTAAGTTGTTAATTATTCCTTTTTGTTTTTTAGTTGTGTTAGCTAAGTTTTATGTTTTGTAAACTGGATCAGATGAATGAGCTGTCATTTGTTTGTCCATCCAATTATCTTTACTTGTGGGGTGATGTGGAGATTTGAACCTCACCCAACAGTGCTCTGAGACTATTCCTGGTTCAGCTTAGGAGTTCCATCTGGTGGTCGAGAGACCACATGTGGTGCTAGGGATTTGAACTGAGGTTGGCTACATGTGAGGCAAATGCCTTCCCTCATGTATTACCTCCCTGACAACATTTGGAGTCTTAATAGAAAGATTCTGAAATGAATAAAGTACAGATAATGCTTTTGTTATGATGGTTGAATGGAAGTCAGTGTTTTCTGATTTTCAAATTTGACATATGCTGTACTGGGAAGGTAAAATATCTTATTAAATGTGCCATCCTTTATCTAGCAGACTTTGTATCTTATATATCATAAATGCTTTAGAATTATTTCTTCAGTAGAACCTTTTCCTTAAGTTATTTCAAGAACCATGCAGTTAATTCAGCTACTGTCATTGTCATTTGGGGGTAGAGGCACTCTCAGAGATGCGCAGGAGTTACTCCTGACGCCTCAGTCAGGAATTGCTCCTGGTGATGCTCAGGGGACCATATGAAATCAAACTTGGGTCTGCTACCTTCAAGGCAAATGCTCTATCCACTGTACTGTCTCTCGAGCTCCATATCACTGTCATCTTGTTATAATGGCAATTGCCTTTACAACTTAAAATCCTTAGGAAAATTTTGGTGGAATCCAGAATAGATTAAATTATTTGTCTTTTTTTAATTTAAAAAATTCATATTTCATTTTATTAATTAAAAAAAATTTATCACCATACAATACAGGGTCATAAAGCTGTTTATGGTTGGTTTTCAGTCATACAATTTTCCAACACCTGTGCCTCCACCATCGTATATTTCTCACTGCCAGTGTCCCAGGGTTCCCCCCCGCCACCTTCCCCTGGCCTGTCCCTATGACAAGCACTTTTCTTCTCTCTCCCTCTCTCTCCCTCCCTTTTTCTCTCTCTCTCTCTCCCTCTCTCTCTCTCTCTCTCTCTCTCTCTCTCTCACACACACACACACACACATACACACACACTCATTTTGGGCATTATTGTGATCATTTTATATTTTGTTTATTTTTTATTTATTTCTTTATTTTTAATTTTATTGAACACCGTGAGATAGATGCAAGCTTTCATGTTTGGGTTACAATCACAGATGATCAAACACCCATCCCTCCACCAGTGCATATTCCCCACCACCAATACTCCTGGTATACCTCCCCTTTTGCACCCTCCCCCGGCCTTCATGGCAGACATTACAATCCCATTCACAATAGTACCTCAGAAAATCAAGTACCTCAGAAAATCAAGTACCTCGGAAAAGAACAGGGATCAGCATTGTTGAAGGTGACTGGCTTAACCTCTACACTATTTCTCTGGTTATTTTAGATTCTCTTGAAGCTAAGGCTGTGGCTTATTTTTCTTTGTACCTTTATTTTTCTTTGTACTTTTGTCCAGTATAGAACCTGAAATGTTTTACATATTGATTAAAATTTGGTTGAATACATAATTTATTATATATTGCATTGGAATGATATGGATTGAATATTTAACACAGTTACTGAGCACCTGTTACATCTTAGTGTTGGGGATCCCAGCTCTCTGGCACACTAGAACAAATATATTATTTTATTACTTTTTGGTTTGGGGTCATACTTGGCAGTGCTCAGGGGTTACTCGTAACTCTGTGCTCAGGAATTACTCCTGGCGTGCTCAGGAGTCCGTATGGGGTGAGAGATAGAACCTGGGTCGGTTGCGTGAAAACCAAAAGCCCTCCTCACTGTACTGTCACTCCAACCCTCTAAAACAAATATGTTAAAGAAAACAGGTGTGTTCAAATTTAGTCAAAGATATTCCAACTATTAGCAGATATACCAACTGATTGTTGTCTGTTAAGGGGATCAGCGGGAGGATAGGGTAATGGAATGATGGTGCTGAGTTAGAAAATTCTCACATGGGAGATGTCATTGAAATCAATAATGTTTAAATGGTTAGGAAGATGACAAAAGTGAAAAAAAGTGAAAACTCGACCTGTAGGTTTGTTATGTAGGTATGCAACCAAGTTCACAGTGCTCTCTATGACAATAGGCAACACATTAGGAGACATGACATGGCCATTGTTTTTATGTTCTGTGGTGGCTCTGAGTTCAGATGAATAAAGTGATTACTTTTATTATTTTTTAATTTGTCATTGAACATAATGTTAGACATGGGTTACTTATAGGTGATGAACCTGAGGTCTGTTCCTTTATGACTGACTTGTTGAGAGGTTTTAGGTTTCTAATTTATGTATTAAATCGCCACGAGATAGTGACAGCTTTAAGGTTTGAGCTTCAGTCACACAATGATCGAAAACCAATTCCTACAGCAGTGTAGCTTTTCCACCACCAGTGTCGCCAATATGTCTCCTGCCACCCCCACTCCACTACACCCCTGCCTCTATGGCAGGTAGTTTCCTTCTTACTTTCTCTCTCTCCTTTGGGATATGATGGTTTACAATACAAATCCTGAGAGGCCATTATGTTTGGTCCTTGGTCAACTTTCGGCTCACATCGCCTATCCCAAGCGATCCTCCAACCATCACTGGCTTGGTGATCCCTTCTCTATTCCAGCTGCCTTCTCCCAGAGCACTTGTTGCAGGCTCCCAATGATGGACCAATCCTCCGGGCCCTTGTGTGTACTCTCAGTAGCTTGCCAGGCTTTCCGAGAGGGGCGGAGGAATTGAACTCATGTCGGCCGTGTTGGCCATGTGCAAGGCAAATGCCCTACCCGCTGTGCTATCGAGCACGGCAATAGTGATATTTGTTAATCCTATTTGCAGGGCTGCTTTGTGAATAAAAATCATTTCAACTTATAGATCCAAACATATTAGTTGAGTATTGTATTCATCCTTGGAAGGAAATAGATTTGCAGGTTCAGAAGTTGTTCTTTACTTACTGAAAAGGGGGAAAGCATGAGCATTGAGGAGAAGACCAGCTGGGCCAGAATTGTATCAATATTTCTATCAATGTCTAAGTCCACCATCTTTTTTGTCTGCTTTTTGTTTGGGGCCATAACTGGCTATGCACTCAGGGTTCACTGCTGACAAGCTGAGGTGTCCATCAAGGGTGCCAGGGATCAAACCTGGGTGAGCCACGGGCAAGCATTTGCCCTACTTGATGTACTATCGCTCCAGCCCCTAAGTCTCCCAGGTTTTGTTTTCTGAATTGTCCAAGGGAAAGTTGTGTTGTGGGTAGTTCTGTTCACTGGTGGAATGATAATCTTCCAAACAATGATCAAGTTAGGGCTAGAGCAATAGTATAGCAGGAAGGGTGTTTGCCTCGCACATGGCCAACCCAAGTTCAATCCACAGCATCTCCTATGGTCCCCTGAGCACCACCAGGAATAATTCCGAGTGCAGAGCCAGGAGTAGCTCCTGAAAAGCACCAGGTGTGACCTCAAAAGTCAAAATAATAATAATAACTGAAAAGTAATTGTAAAAAACCTCAATGATGAATTTGGGAGTGAGAACTTAGGTCCATTCTTTAAAAAGCACTGAACACTGTTATTTGTCTTGAATTTTGGGTTGAGTTCATTTAATGAACTTGTTTATTATTTCTTAATGTGTTTTTTGGGGCAGTCTCCGAAGCTCAGGACCTACTCCCAGCCCATTACTTTAGGTTTCACTCCTGGTGATAATCAGAGGGTTGCAGTACTGGGGATTGAATCCAGAGTTACCTCATGCTTGAGCAGAGGAAACATATACAATGTCTCTCTGACCCTCATTTGTTGTAAAAGTGTTAATACATAGATGTAAAATATCTCAGTAGTCACCAGTACATAGAACACACTCTTTAACTTCTTCTGTTATTGTTAACTGTTACCATTTCTCAATTTATTCATTCTTTCATCGGGGAAGAACTTCAGGGAGTCTGTAACTGTAAGTTCAGTGTCGTCGACCTCTTGGGTACAGGGTGTACCCAATAATATTTACCACGTGAAGAGAAGATTCCAGAAGAGGGGAGATCTACTCATCAGATTTCTACACTCTTCTGGACCTTCTATTGTCATTAGCACAAAAAGGAAAAATATCGCTATCCTAAAAATTTAGTATGGTGTCCTGGGGTTGAACCCATGTGCAAGGCAAGTTTCTAAACTCCTGCTCTTTCCATCCCCACCTGCATGTTAGTTTAGATTAAAGGACCTTTATAAACATGAAGCCAAATTTCTTTTCCTCCTTTTCTTCTAAAAACGATAACTTGTGTAACGTGGTTACCATAGTGTTTGCGCTTTTTAATTCTGAACAAGGTTACTGCACCTTGACTACCCCCAAAGTGCCAAAAAGACTCCATCACTGACCTTGCGTGCCTTTGGGTCCTTCTGTCACTTCTACTTTGGCTCCGTTTCTGCCTTACGACCCCCTCCCCCTGCTGCTTGCCATTCTTACTTTAGAAATCGAAAGCCAAAGATTTGTTATCACTTGATATTGTCTGATCCCGGGTTTTGTTTCTCTACAGATCACAGTTACTGACCCAGAGTGCAAGGGGTCTTCCCCCAGGTCGTCATTGTAAATTTTTGTCTTCTTGTCTGCTTAAATAGGAGCAGTGGGACCTCATGGAGACAACTTGGTAGAAAAGATTCTATCAGTGCTCCCGCAGTTTCCCGGCCACACGAGTGATGGGATGGTCAGCATGGCCGGGCTTACGGCCCTCCAGGCTGAAGACGAGAAGCAGAACGTGGTCGCACCAGGCTGTCTGGCACAATCCCAGTGAGTTATCTTCCCCTCATCCTCCTCACTGTTCCTTTTCTTTTTCTCTCCGAGGCTGAGCTTTCCTCTAGAAATGAAACATCAGCCTGCTGGAGAAATTTGATGGATTTCATGTTGGAAAAAAAAAGTCACTTTTTCGTAACTTTGAAATAACCATATTCTTTAGCCAACACTGAGCCACAAAGCACGGGGTTTTGCAGCGGTATCATTTAGATGTAATAGAAGCTTGTTCCCAGGTGAGTCAAGTTAGTCAGTTTGTAAGTCTCCATTTCATAGACAGTTTCGTATGGGACTGAGGATAGGCTTCCCTTTCCCCAGTGGACGTTCCTACCCGGCCAAACAACAGCCTACGCAGCTGTGAGATGCTGCCATCACTTACCTGGACGTGATACGCTCTGGGGCAGCAGTGGCCAAGTTTTGATCTCTGTGTGTATTTCTTCTCATGGTTAGACAAATCACAGCAAGATGATGGTGTGCTTTCTGTCACGCAGTTTCCAACATAAAAGAACATTTCTCGGCAAGGTTGACAATGAAAGGTTATAGTACTGATCGTCTCCACTTTGTTCTTCGGCAATTCCTAGGAAGGGGAAAAATTAATTGGAAGGGGAAAAATATATCTCCGAATATCTGTTTCTCATCTCCATTTTTTTTTAATTTTTGAACAAGACAAGACCTCTGGCGTGGTCGTGTCAGTGCTTCACAGTAACAGATGCAGTGGGAATTTCCTAAGATGACTGGAATTAGTTTTTTCCTCTTAACTTTGTGTTTGTATTTTAAAACTTATTTCCAAAACTCAGGAAAACAGAATTTTCAACTCTTGAAATCTACAAGGTAGTTTTCTTTTGATTGTTGTTGTTTTGTGTTTGTGTTTTGTGGGGAGAGAGATGTTTATTGAATACCAGGTATGTGGGGAAAAAGACAAACATCTGTCGCCAGTCTTTTTTTTTTTGTTTTTATGTATAATATATATACATACATATATATGTGTGTATATATATATAAATTTGGTCGTACTGCAACTTGAGCTTGACACGCACATACCAGCTAAGTGTTTTGCCACTGGGTCACATCCCTGGCACCTTTGTGCACATGATAAAGAGCACCGGCCATGTGCTCACTGTGGCGGCACTTATTCCAAAACATACACCTCAGAAAGTGTAATCCGAGAAATAGCTGAGATTGGAAATATTTTTTGCTCATTGGTGATCCCTTAAAGTGTTAATTATTATTTTTTTATTCAATCACTATGAATTATAGTTACAAAGTTATTCAGTATTAAGTCTCAGGTTAACAATTTTCCATTTCCAACACCAGTCCCTTCTCCAGGTTCTTCGTCCCTCCTCCAGAGTCCCCAGTGTCCTTCCCACTTGTCAGTCTGCCTCTGTGGCAGGCACTTTCCCCTCCACCATTATTCTAGTGTTCCCTTCCCCAACTTATCCCCCTCACCCCTGCTCCACAGTAAGCTTCCTGCTGAAGACCACTTCTCCTGCTCTTTGTTTCTCTTGCCTTTGGGCATTTGTTACTCCTATGAAGTTTCTTTATATCCCACGTATGAGAGGCCATTCTGAGTTGTCCCTCTCCCTCTTACTAACATCACTCAACATGATACCACTCCGATCCATCCACTTAGCAAATTGCCTGATTCATCTTTTTCTGATGGTTGCGTAGTATTCCGTTGTGTTCTGTGTATGTGCCACAGCTTCTCTATCCAGTCATCTGTTCTTGGACACTTGGGTTGTTTTCAGATTTTGGCTATTATGAATAGTGCTACAGTGAACGCAGGGGTGCAGATGTCTGTCTTGCATTGTGCTTTGGACCCTTGGGATGTCTTCCAGGGAGTGGAATTGCTGAGTCATATAAACCTTCAATTGGTAGTCTTTTGAGGAATGTCTTTATTGTCTTCCCAAAAGTCTGGTCCTATGGACATTCCCACCGGCAGTGAATGAAGGCTGCTTTTCCCCACAACCTCTTCAATACTACATTTTTTGTTTGTTTGTTTGTTTGTTTATTGAGTGTCAGTCTTGCTGCTGTAGGTGTGATAGCTCATTGTTTTGATTTGCATTTCCCTGATGATTGATGATGTAGTGTATTTTTTAAAACATGCATTTTGGCCATATGTATTTCTTCTTTGAGGAACTTCTGTTTATTTCTTTTTCTCATTTTTTGATAGTATCGGATACATTTTTTCTTGTAGAATACTGCTAATGCTTTATATGTCCTGGATGTTAATCTTTTATCAGATGAGTGATGGGCAAATAATTTCTTAATCTGGTCATTGTTTCCTGTGAAGTGCCGAAGCTACTTTTAGGTACTAATTTTATATAGTACGTTTGTTGCAAAAGCACAGTGGGTTGGGCGTTTGCCTTGCACGTGGCTATCCCTCTCGGAGAGCCCAACATTCTCCTGAGAGTATCCCGCCCGCACGGCATATCATATTCGATATGCCAAAAACAGTAATAACAAGTCTCACAATGGAGACCAGTGCTCACCCCAGCAAATCAATGAACAACAGGAGGACAGTGCTACAGTGCCACCATTTGTTTATATTTTGTTTCACTTGCTTGGTCAGTGGTATTTCCTCCTTTAAGTTGCCTCTAGCTTCAATGTCGTGGAGAGTTTCTGTCTAGGTTTCCTTTTCTTTGTCTCATAGGGTCAAGTCTGATATCAAGATCTTTAATCCATTTTGATTTGATTTTTGTGCATGACATTCGAAAGAGGTCAGAGTTTATTTTTTTATACGTGGTTGACCAGTTTTCTCAGCACCATTTTATCAAAGATTAACTGACCATATATATATACTCAAGGGTCTGTTTCTGAATTTTCAATCCTATCTCATTGATTTAGGGGTCTGTCTTTATTCCAGTACCATGCTGTTTTAATTGCTGCCGCTTTGTTGTGCATTTTGAAGTTTTACAATGCCTCCCACCTTCTTTTACCCCCAGGATTGCTTTGGCTCTTGGGCAGGGGTTAGAGAGAGAAAATAAAGTGTTAAATTTTAAGGCTGACTGTGAGTACTGCGAGGCGTGAACAGAGCTGTATTCCTGAGTCCAAGTTGATTACAGTAGTCCGAGTCTACTGTACTATCCAGTTGATTCATATTATCAGGAGTGTCCCCTGAGCATTGCTTGGGAGGCTTCTCCACCCCCAACCTCTCAATATGTACGATTACATTCTTACCTTCAAGGAAGGATTTTGTCATTGGGGTAGTGATGGTTTACACACTTTGGACAATAAAGAAAGAAGGAAAGAAAGAAAGGAAGGAAGGAAGGAAGGAAGGAAGGAAGGAAGGAAGGAAGGAAGACCCATAATCATGACTTATGGGTCTGCTATAGATTATAATTTCTGCAAGTCAACTGTTAGTTGAATGTGCACTTGGCAGACCTGTGTGAATCTTGTGGAAATGGTGGTGCTTGAACTCTTTCCATGGATTTAGATAAGGAGAGAAAAGATCCTTGAGAGCAATCATGGCCTCCTAAGCCAGAGAACTTCGCTTCACTACCACTGCCATCATCTCCATAAGCATTTCTCAGGACTGAACTGTGTGCCAAGAGCCCTTGCAGTTTACCTTTGGAAATTCATATGCGTTTTATAATGACTTAAAAATGTAGGTATTGCTCTTCTCCATCTGGCAGGGGAGGAAACTGAGGCTGGGGTGCCTCAACTCACATAGTTTAGAGGAGACAGAACTAGGAATGGAGCCCAAAAACTTGAGTCCAGAGCCATCTCTCTCAAATTCTATAGTACCTCTATAGGAGACAGCGAAGAGAAAGGCTCATGAGTAGCTATAAAGAGATAATGAGATGGAATGGGGTGGGGCTGGCTCTTCCCTCCCACAGCCCAAAGAGACCCCAGTCACCGCCCACAAATGGGCCCTCTGACTACTCAACAAACTGCTTCTGCCATGATCCCAGAGACTCAAAAACAAATCTTGGAACCCAGCGGCTTTTGGCAGAAATCCCTCCAGATCTAATTGTTAAGATTTCAGAAATCCAAAATCGTTGTTCATGATCAGCAGTAGAAAACAAATTGCCTAATGTTGCTTTTTCAGCAGATATGAGTGTTGGGGTAAAATTCCAAATAATAGTGGTGGGTCTGATGTCGAAATATTGAATGTAATCAAAGTAGAGAGAGAGAGAGTAATGTAGAAACCATCTGCCACACAGGTAGGGGGAGGATGTGGGCTGGGGGGTATAGTGGGGGTTTTGGTGGTGGTAAATGTGCACTGGGAAGGGACGGGTGTTTCATCATTGTATTACCAAGACTTAAACCCAAAAGCTTTGTAACTGCTCTCACGATGAGTCAATAAATAACTTTAAAGAGAGAGAGAGACAGACAGAGAGAGAGAGAGAGAGAGAGAGAGAGAGAGAGAGAGAGAGATAATGAGATATTAAACAAATACAAAGTTACTGCGTCATTTGATTTTGGGAGTTCTGTCCATTCAGCATAATGGTGACACAAACAACAGAAATTATTCATCTCAGGCAATTGCAGCAGAAATGAATATTGTAAATTGAATGGAAACAAAGGAAGATTTTTTTTCCAAAGGAAGACTTTTAATCAGATTTTGGAAAGGACAACACAGATCCAAGGATTGAGGAACTAAGATCTCAACAAAGGTTTCTCCAAGGCCTGAATATTAGAGAGGCTGCATTTTAGCCGCTCTCTGTGCGGAGTCCTCAGCATCCTTTGAAGATTCAGGTTTCAATGAATAGGCTAAGATTGGCCTCTCTTGGGTCTTATGCCCACTCTTTGCCCAGCAGGCTTTGCAATGCTTAAACCAAGGCTTACATACTGAAAAGCTTTCTATAATAATTTAACAAAGGTTCAAACAAAGGGATCAAACCTGGACTGGTCACATGCAAGGCAAGTGCCTTTCCCACTGTACTACCTGTTTGGCACTTGGTTTGCTTAATTTTAATCCTATCTTTAGGT